ATGGGACATTTCCACACCTTTCAAACTTAGTGTATATCTTTAAAACCAACCCTCGCTTTTTGCATTGATCAGGTGTACAATGGGCAGGAAAAAAGAGAATGAAACAATGTTCTTGGAACTGAGAAAGCCTCTGATACACTAACTAGATTCCCACAGATAATGGGGATGTTTTGCTTTAACTTAAGAACACTTGATAAGCATACACAATGCTCATGATAATGGCCAGTAATAGAAACTTTTGGGTGCAGTCACTTTCATCTGTTTGTTTCACACACTCCTGTAAATTAAATATCTGACTAATCAGGTCAATCAGAATAATTAAGAAAAAAATGATACATTTAGAAAAAAGTTACATACCTACACACATGCATGTACATGCCTCTGCACTAGCAGGCTGCACTTCCAGAACACCAGCTTATAGCAACAGCCGAATAACCACTGGCTGATTATCGTCAAATTCTAACTCACAGATTACTGCCTTTCCCAGTTTACGCCTGTGTGCTTCAAAGATCAGACCTTTGTTTTATAAAACAAATCTGTATTTTTTTTCTCTCAGATTGCATATTTGCAAGCCCTGGCTACAGTTCCGTAAGGGTTCACTTTCCGTGTGTGCACGACCTAACCCGTGCGATGCGCAGCTCTTCCCTCTGGAGGGAGCCGGCTCTTCAGGCACGGCGACGGCGCAGCACCGCGTCCGCTGGAGCGGGGGTGCAGCGGTACCCGCGTACCCCCAAAGCCCACCCCCACCCCACGCCCCCCGGGGTGACACGGCCTCTCCCGGCTACACAAGTGACGGGTCAGCCCATTGCACCCACCGGCTCAGCACTCTGCCAGCATAAACGGGTTTGTTTTCAACCCATCATGAAAATGAACAACAGAAGGCAAAGCAACAACAACCTGCACATGTATGTGCACACTCATACCCTTCCCTGCACCCTCCACTCCAGCCACGCTCAACAGGCTCACAACAACTTTTTGAACTCCTTGGACGAAGGTGCCAAAACCTGCTTTGCAAGTACTGCTGCGTTGGCTCTCCCAGAGCTGCTTCAGGCAGCAGGGCTTAGCTTCTGCCCCCCAAACTTAACCTGCGGGCACCTAACTTGTTTCCAGCGGTTATAGGGATCCCTTTACATCGGCAGAATGTTGCACAGCATGAGTGAACAAGCTGGTCTTGTTCCTTTCAGACCAGATCCCTTGGCCAGCAATCCCGGCATCACAAGCTGAAGCCCTCTTGCTATAGAGGATGAAGTCTATTTGGCAAGGGGAGGATCCTGCGCCAGCTGAGGTGGCTCTGGGCCATGCAGCATCACTAGCCATGGCTCCTTGCAGGGATGCACTAGGAAGCTTCTAGACCCTGGGAGACCCCAGTAGCCTGGTGCCTGCACAATGCCTTTTTATGCTTACTGCTTACTTTGGGTCATTCTCAACCCTGCAAGCTACTGTTACACAGACTAGCACGAAGGAAGCCAGAGTACTTGCTCCCCTGGCAATGGCCATGCATATGCATGCTTGAGGTTGACTCAAGAGATGCCAATGCCCCAGGATGCATCTACTGGGGACCACCTTCACCGTCCCACACAAAGCAGTTCTAGCATCTCCCTGAAGAGGAGCAAAAATTATAAAAAACATCCATGAAGTGAGTAAATGGTACACACAAACGTGCAAGCATACAGAAGTCTCACCCCCGTAGTTCCTGTCCTACATGTGGAAGTCACATACAGGTCCTGACCTAGTAGTCAGGTCCACTAGCAAGGAAAAAATAAAACCACCAGCAGCAAAAGAACATTCCTGAAAACCTGAGCTATCCCAGTGTTTAGGGTAAGTGATCAAGCAAAGACCTGCCTTGTTTCACCTGTGAGTGCCTAATCCTGTATTTATCCACTGAGGTAAGTGGTGAGGTTTTCAGACCTTTGGAGCAATTAGTAAATTCAGCCTGTGCCTCTGGAAAATGGAACCACATGGCTAATTTATTCTCTAGCCCTGTTTGGAAGAGACAAAGGGTGCTTGTAACCTCTGTGCTCGGGCGTGTTTTACCAGCAGCTTTCAAATACAGTGTTATATGTGACCTGAGGTGACCATAAGTGGAAGTATTGTCTGGAAATGCTGCAGCATTCTTTCCAAGTGTGTACCATGGACCTTGGTGACAGCATGTACTGAGAGAAGCTTAAACATCCATGTAATTATACAAAGTCATTTTCCAAATAAAACTGCAATACACAGATAAGGCATGGCCTATACATGGCATATCATGACTAACTGGCTGACAGGTAACATGAAATTAAAGAGTTACATATTTGCTGTGATTTTCAAAAGGCTTCTACTGGTCAGTGCACAGTGATATGGGGGTGTTTGTTTGAACCAGATTTTTTTTCTGATACAAAATCAACCCTATTTGCTTTCCATCCAGAGAGACAGACATGGCCATACAAGGAGAAAACAGCAGTCAAAGCCCTGAGGAAGCTTGATTTAAGGACTAAAACATGACATGAAATTGACTGCTATCATACTTAATAACAAGCACCTTGCATGTTGGTGTCCTAAAAGCAAGGTTAGAAATACCATTTTCTTAGTCCAAACTAAAGCTTTGACACCACTGCATGGCGTCTTCTTCCCATTCAGACACAGGAGTTCTGCAGTGGTTGTTCTATAGCACAGAGAACAGACTAGGACTGAACAACCTGAGGGTCCATAGCCATAGTGTGAAGTTCTGTGCTTTCCTAACAGAGCTAAACTGAAAATCCTACCGTCAAGGCAAGGGCCTTGAACCACTTTCTGTAAGAGCACAGTTTAGTCCTGATGTCCTGGGTCACGCAGTCCTCTCATCTCTTGCGCAGTGAAGTACGTTTGGAAAGGTGTGTGGCCATTCTGCACTTCTTGCAGCACACTGTGTATGTTTAAAGAAAGCAAGTATTTACCAACACAAATGTATGGTATCCATTCTGACCTGGGACCCCAACCCTGCCAAGTGGGGCACAATGACAGATCACAGCCATGGGCAGCTCTGGCAACCAGGAAGAGGGAAGAGAGGGAGCAATCACCTACTGAAATTCCCTCTTTGCTCGGACTTCACAACTCCAGCTTAGTATCCCTCCTTATTTAAATAACATAATTTTGTAAGGCAGGTTTAGACTTCAGAGCTGCCAAACTGACAAATATACCAAAATAATCCAACAAGAAAGGAAAGAAAGAAAGAAAGAAGAGGAAAAACATTTATAAATGTCACTGTCCAATGTCTTTTCAATTTAAATGAAATAAGATTATCTACATATATCTACAGGTATCTACATGTATCTACACTGTTTGCAGATATGATTCTTTGGTTGTTTTCACTTTTTTCCTACACTGCAGCTATCAAGAACAAAAAAAAAAGTGTTTGTATAATCTTTGAAAGAAATAATAAATATAACAACTTCATTAAACGTTTGACCAAAGCTTTGGCACTAATCAGTTTACAGATAACAAATCATACTGAAAACTCTGAAGTAACAGCGGCAAAGCAACAGAGCACATCCAAGAGCCATTTCCCACTGACTATAATAAGCACAAGGCTATTTTACATCAACCTTTCTGAGAACGTTAATTATGGTTTAGTCAGACACTAAGAATCTCACAATTCACTGCAAATGTCAAATAAAATACATATTTCTTGCACAAGTCTTTTCATGGATCCACATATATGGGGTTTTTAGAACAGAAAAAAAAAAAATACATAAAATACTCATGTTAGCCTGTATCCCTTCTTAAACCCTTCCAAAAAGTCTTGGAAGCCCAGAGCCCACTGCCCAAAACAGAATAAACATCGCTATTAACACTGACACCTGCTCAAGGGAAAGATTATGTTTTAAAAGGTTTGTAGTGGAAATGCACAAACATGGATGAATACAGAACTTTCAAAAAGACAACCCCCTCCTTTTCATAGACTAGTGGAAGAATGAGAAGTGTTCATAATACTGTATTCCAACACAGCTGAGGGGCTGCTCAATACCTTCTCTGAACACAAAGGGACTGCCACTTGGTGAGCATCTGACAAAAAACACAAGCCAACTGTCCAAAACACATCACCAGAGAAGCTGTGATGAGCAGGCCCATCCTTTCAACAATACGGAAAGACTACTACTGAAGGAAGATATTAAAGGGAAACAAGGAAAAAGTACTTACCAGCTTTAAGAGGGGAGATGCAGCAAGCAGGCAGGTGCAGAATAGGTGCTTTGGGACTACAGCAGTTTGGGTCAGCCAAATATAAAGGGTGAGGCATTTGGGGGGAAAAATCCTGAAGTTCCTCTAAAAGGCACCTCTCAATGGGAGATCAAGAGCTCGGGAAAGGATGTAGAAAGGCAGTACTGTGAGGGTGCTTGGGAAGCAGCCAGCTCACAAACTATTGCTGAGAATACGCAGCCTAAATTCTAAGTATTCCCTCACCCCCGGCTGGTTTCTAAACCTTAGCATCCATTGTTGTGAAAAACAGAAGATGTACACGGCATGCTCTTGGCCACGGGCTCAACAGCTCCAGAAAATGCTGTTGTGGTTAAACCGCCCCAAAAAAACCCAAAACTCACGGGCAGGTCGGGACTGGAGGAGAAGTGGGCAATTAGTTCTGACAGTGAAGATTCAAAGTGTTCCCTTAAGCTAAACTGTGCCTCCTCTGACAGTCCTCACAGAACCACCTGAGCCACCAGCAAACGAGACCAAGCATCCCCCAGCCGACACTCACACCGACCCGTGCAGAATTACACCGTACCGCGGGGCCCGGTGCCGCCGGTGCTCACGGCCAGGCCCGCAGCCCTCCCTGCCCGGTGCTAACCGTACACACCCCGCTGGGCTGGGAAACACCCGTGGCACTGCCAAAACTGGCGGCAACACCAAACCTCCATCGAAAGAGCCGGCGGGTGAGGGAGCAGGGGGCGAGTCACCTCACCGCTGCTGCTCGCCGTGCTCGGTGTCCGGCGCGCTCGGGGGCACCACAACGGAGGCGCGGGGGTAGGATGGAGATACAGAACGACATATGGCTTCATTTATCAAAGTGCAGCTGCGGGGTCACACCGCGGCGGGCAGCACCCGGCCCCTCACCACACACCGCCTCGCGGCCCGCCGACGGGTGGGGAGCGGGACGGCGGCTCCGGCTTCCTGCGATTGGTCTCTGCGGGTGTCGATGAGGACAGGCTGGCCTATCAGCTCACTCGTGAGGCGGGGAGAGGGGGAAAGGCGGGAAGGGGGGGAAAGGACGGTAACGGTCGCGGAAGGCGCGGGCGCTGCCAGTCTCTCGCGCCGCCGGCGGCCCCGTTATCTGGGCCCGTAGTCGTAGCTGGCGGGCGCGCCGGACGACGAGTACATGTTGGCGGCCGCCGCGTTCATGTGGTGGTGGTGATGGTGGTGGTGGTGGTGGTAGCTGTGCCCGCGGATGCTGGGGAGGGGGTAAGGCGCGGGCCGGCTCTTCGCCCCCAGGTAGTGGTCATAGGCGGCGGCCGCCGCCGGCGGGTACTTGTAGGGATGGTGGTGGAGCGGCTCCGAGGCGGCGGGCTCCAGGCGCAGTTCGTGGTGGGGAGGGCTGGGCCGGCCGCCGCCCGCACCGCCCAGGGGCACCAGGCCGCCGCCGCCGCCCGGCAGCGCGGGGCTGAGCACGCGGGACATGAGCTGCTGGTGCGCGGCCTCGGCGTGCAGCGCCGTCCCGCCGGCCGCCTCCCGCTCGAACTCCCGCCGGCTCTCGGCAGCATCTGCGGGAGCACACAGCGTCAGCGCCACCGCGCAGCGGCTCGCTTCAATACACGGAAAAGCGGTGCGCGACCGTAAAAGCGAGGCTCGCAACGAGCGGAGTGCGCAGCGGCATGCAGCAGGAACCGGGGCTTGTGGGACAGGACCTTCTGACTGAGATAAATGGAGCTGAATTGACTGACAAGCTGGTACACGCCTGAAATTTTTGCAATTGTGTAACACTAAACAAATACAGACTTCCCTTTATTTTGCAGGCCTGGAGTGTGTTGGAAGAAAGGCCCTTGGTTGTCTCTGCAGTTGTTTGCTCTCCGTAATGGAAAAGGAGTCAATGGGCAGAGGTGCTGTTCGACCTGACTGAAGCTCCTGAATGGGAGAGGGTCGGTCCTGAATGTGCTGCTGGGGCACGTCAAAAGGGCATTGAGAGGAGAGCCAGTGGCCATCGCTGCATCCCTGCCTGAAAAGCTGAGCTTGCTGCCAAAAAGTCAGAGACACTAAAGGAAGAGGGTGGTGTGTTTTAAAGCAGCAAAGTTGCTTACGCACAACAGCTGTGAGTCTTTTAGACTTAGGGCAAATGAATTAGGCTACGAAGGTGGCTATTTTTGTTAAATAAAATAGGTGGTGCTGCAAAGCTCATTAGCACTGTAGGTGTGCCCGTTGCAGGCAGCAGTACACTGGCATGGTAAGCAGGGCTGGCCCCGAGCATGCACGCGCTGTGGTCCCGGGTGACAGGCTGGCCAGGCCATTGCGGGCTCTCACCTTTCTCTGTCCCATTCTGGTGTGCCGGGGAAGAGACCGGATTCCGGGATCTGGCAAAAGCACTCATGAGAGGCAGGGCCCCTGGCCTGTGATTCCTGGGCCTGGAAGAATAAAGGGAGAAGTGATACCAACAGTGCAACAGAATGAGCACTTGGCGTGCTGCTGCTGTGAGCTGCAGCTGGCAAATGGGGCGCTGCATCCCCTGAGCTTCCACACAAGCCTTGTGCAGATGTGAGCTGGGCAGGTGCATGCAGAACTGGGGCTAAATGTGGGGTGTAGTGACAGTCAATAAAGACAAAGCCTTACCAGTCCTCAGGGTCACAGTCTCTGAATCCCTTGGCGAAAGGGTTGCTGGCGATCTTCAGCTGTGTGATCTGTAGGGAGAAGCAGGGAAATGTCTCAAAGTGGCATACACAGGGCCCCGGTCAAACAACAAGCATGCTCCTGAGCTGGAATTGGGAGCTGGATATGTTCTGCCACAGAGCACAGGCATGTACTTTCCCTCTGTTAGAAAACGCTGGCTAGGACATTATCTAATAGGAGTTCAAGGTGAAAGGTGACTGCATTGGCTGCAAGGGCTGTGTAAATGCACTTGTAAGAAAATGCCACATTATATGGGTCACCACTGGAGCAGCTAAGACAAATTACTGGATAACTCATACTTATGTATTTATTTAATTCGACTGGAGAAGGCAGGACATTTTCTATATTTAAGTAAATCCATGGATAAAGTAAGCGATTGTGAGTTTCCGGAATGGGTTGAAAAACAAACTTTAAGCCCCTCAGTGACAGTTCCAGCCTTAGAGGTCAAACTGATAGAAAGCAGGAGAGAAAGAGCAGCTGTCCGGAGCCATCAGCAAATGCCAGCCGGGAGGGACTCCGAAGCCCCTTAAAGGCACAGCCGTGCTCTGGCCCCGGCAGGAACCCCGGGAGATCCCGGGCCGATGCGCGGGAGCCGCGGCAGAGGGTGGCACCAGCTGCGGCCCCAGAGAGGAGCGAGGCGGCTGAGAGCAGCACTGAAAAGCCCCTGCTTTGAATCCGTATTTGCTCTCGCGGATGGGATTTCTGCTCTTTACGTTACACTGATGCGATTTAAAGAAGCAATTGGATTAACTGCTGCCCAGAAATCCGCATCAAATTGGGGGGGTGGGTTGTTTTGTTTCGTTTCGTTTTTTAAACATGTAATTGTATTCTAGGGAGGAACTGACCGCTACGAGCTTAGAGAAGTAAAATCGCACATTTATCCTAACAAATTGAGAGTGACATTTCGCAGCGGGAAGCCTGTAGTTTCCCAACTAGCTCCAGCCTCGGGTAATGAGCTCCCCTCGGGCGGGGGGGAGCCAGCGGTGGGGCTGCAGCTCACATCACTTCCTCGGTGTGCAGCGACGCAGAGCTCAGTTTAGCTCCCCGACTATCGGAATAGGGTTTAGCAAGCGGGGAGGAGGCGGCTGGAATCCCGCCCCGCCGTACTCCCGCAGCCCGGAGCAGGGTGCGCCTGCACCAGCGGTATCTCCGCGGCGACCCCAACCCCTGTTTTCGGTTGCCCCGAGCCCCACTGCCTCCTCACTCGGTGGTTCTGGTAGGCGGTCACGGCTGTGAAGCGCGTCTCCTCGAAGACGAAGGTTTTGAAGTTCTCCTCCGCGTATTTCTCGCTGTCTTTCCGGGGGTCCACGTAGACCACGTGAAAACGCGGCTGGTATCTGTGCATGGAGTTCAAAATGATCTGAATGATAAAACGAGCAAGGAGACAATAACTGATTCAGGCGGAGCATGGAGAGAGGAGAACGCAGCCCCCGGCCCTGCCGGCTACCCTACCCGGGGGGTGGGGGGTGCGGGCAGGGACACTCCACGGGAACCACGGCACGGGGCGTCTGTGCAGTGTCGCCCGGCAACACTTACATGCCCGTTGTCATCCAGCAAATTGTTGGTCAGTTTGAGCTTATCGAACGAAACGATCTGCTTCATCCACTGAGCCCCTTTCGCCGGGGAATCGGGGTGGTAGTGCACCCTCCCGGGGGTGGCGGGGTCGGCTTTGCCGGCCACCAGCCAGGAGGAGCTGTGGAAGGCGTACCTGCCGGGGGGAGAACGCACCCTCAGACGCGGTCCAGCGGCTCCCACCAAGCACGCCGAGGCCGAGCAGAATCCGTCCGGGGGGGGGGGGGGGGTGTGTGTCCCATCCCAGTCCCTCCTGTCCCTTCGTGTCCTACGGCAGCGAGTGAGTTCTCCATAGCATGACTCGTTGAGGGGAGAATTAATAGTTTAGCAGGTCGCTAATGGAACTGGCAGGATAAAAATCTGCAGGGTGGAGGAAATTTATAGCTACCTGCACAGATTTGGAAGAGAAGCCACACAAGCTCCCCCTTCCTCTAAAAAAAAATTTAAAGGGTGAAAGGGAGCCCTCTATACAGTAATATTCTGGCTTTAAGTGAAGACTGGAAAGGTATGTGTAGATTAATAGCAGGTCCAGAGTTTAGCAGCCTTGTTTCATTCTTTCAAAGAACATATTAAACAGTAACGTTTAAAACAGAGAAACCAATCTTCTATACACGTGTTTACTTTAAAAGCCAGTGTTTGCACAGGGGGAATTAGACACCAGACACCATCGGACTTGAGCAGAAACATTACTTTTTAAAGATATACTCAATTGGATGTTATATATCCCACTTCCCTTGACAAGCAAACATTTCTAGGACGCCCTGAGAATTTGGATATCTGTCTAAATATTTATATATCGGACCCTGCGATTCCTACACGGCTGCCTGCTCGGCGTCCTGATCTGAAGCTAAAAACATAATGCGCCTTTCACTGTCTTCAAACGAAAGGGGTGCCAAACCAGACCCCATCGCTGCCTTGCGAGTCCCCAGCTTCCAAGGCCTTCCCACACTGACGCTGGAAACAAGGGCCAGGGCTTTGTGGCTCAGATGGCCCATGTCCTTTGCACAAACCCTACTCTCTTCGCCCAAGCACCCAGTGAGCTCCCTGGTAAGCACGGTACAGCCCTGCCGAGCCACCGGCCCCAGCCGAGAGGCGACAGCACTCGAGAACCACCGGGGAATATTCATTAGGGAGCAAAAGGCTTTTGCTGGGTGAAGACGTGGAGCAGCAGGACTGGGAGGGTTTTTCTGGGAAAAACAAGGCAGCTCCTGCCCGGTCCGGCCGCGGGCATTGTGAGAAAGCCGAGGAGGCCCCACGGGTCTGTGCCCAGTGCAGCCGAGCCCCTCCCGGTCCCAAACTCGTAATGGTGTGAAACAGACCCCGGGGCAGGCACACCCCACGTCTTCTCCCCGACTCACACCGACATGTGTCGGGCCCAGAAGCGCATCCACGAGCCCCGAGGGTACAGGAAGTGAGCAGCTGCCCTCCAGCTCCCATAGCGCTGAGAGCCACGGGATGGGCAGCTTGCTGCTTACCGGTATCGCTTGTCGTCCACAGGGACGAAATCCATGAGGAGCATGTAGTCAGCCATAGGGTCCATCCCGAATATCTTCACCTGGAAGGTGGGGAACATGCGCCTGACAGAGAGGGGAGAGAGAGCAGAACTGAGATGAGGGGCAATGGGAGCCCTGAGGGGCCGACGCAGATACTCGCACCCTCCCTGACCGGGGGTGCTGTGAACGGGAGCCCCACAACCTCCCAAGTCCTCCCACCTCCTGCTACCCTGATTCCTGCCCGGTTGCAATGTTCGACCCCCCCGCAGGAACCGCCGGCCAGAATGGGAGAAAAAGACAGATGCTGCCGGGCAGTGTGGAGAGAGAGGCTGCCGTGTCCCCTGGCCCTCAGCAGCATCCCACAGGACGAGCCGGGCCCTGCCTCTCCTGCCGGCTCCAGAACCGTTTGTGTTGGACACCCAAAACGTCCCACCGGAGAAGGGGAAACAAGTACCACCAACAACCTTTGTCATGGGGAGACACAAGTGAAAAGAATTTCCTCTGTTTCCTCATCCTTTTTTCAGCTGAGCTGATTTGAGGCAGATGCAAGGCATTACCCCATCTCCGGACACACCACGGTGAGCCGCTGGCAGAGCCCTGGAAGGTTCGGGCAGCCCGAGGGTCATGTCTAGAACCTCCTGTGCCGATGTGAGAGTTCCCACTTCTGCAACTTCTCCCCCAAATCTGTGCCCGTTTTAAAGCAGCGGTTACAGCAGCACTGTGGTCTCTGGGGCCAGCAGGAGACCTCCCGCAGCCCGGAGGGCAAACACACCCCGCGGCGAGCAGGGACTAGAGGGCAATGGGGATCCCCCAGGAAAACCGCTCTCGGTTTTGTCGAGCTCCCTGTCCACGCACCTTTACGGGACAAAATGAGAGCGTGAAGGTGCTGGGGCTCCCCGGTAGGGCAGTTCGCCCCCCAGGGCTGTCCCCGCTGCTCAGTTTGCGCAGGCCCCTGGAGACCCCAGGTTATAGCCGGGGGCGCGGGTCCCACGCTCAGGGAGGGCACGATCCCTTCGAGGGGCTGCGGGGAAAATGCGATCGGGGGTGGGCTAAGGGATGGGGTCGGGCAACCCCACCTCCCCTCTGCACACTCCGGGGACAGGGCTTGGCCCCCGGCTCCCTGGAGGGATTCGCCCTTGCATTTGGGCTCGTTACGGCTTCGGTTTTGTTTGCTACATTCCTAGTCCCGAGTAGGAAACGAAGCGAGCAGCAGCGGGCGGCATTTTGGGAAGGTGATTTGCAGCCGTTGAAAAACCAAACTCCCAACACCCCCAGTAAAAACAACCCGGATCAAACCCGGACACGGAGCCTACCCCCGGCTCATTCTCGGGGCGCACGGCCGGACCCGCCGTGCCTCTTCCCGGAGCTTTTTTGGTTGTGTGCCGTTGCTCTACACCGAGGACAAGCTGCTTGCCAGGGCTATGGGCAGCGGGCTCTGGCCCCGCAGCACCTTCAAGCCCAGGCCCGGCACTGCCGGGCATCAGCTGGATCGGGTGCTGCGCCTCCCTCTCTGCAACGCTTTAACAAACTCTGACGGACGTTTTCAATTGCTCCCTCTGTTATTATTTTTAAAGGTATAAAAGCTCCCATTAGCTCTAGTTCCGGCGTTTCTTGTTTTAAAACTAAGTTTTAAAACAAACAACCCGAGATGATAAGACCCACCTAGACAAACAGCAGGGCCAGGCCAGAGGAGCTGGGAGAGAACATGCTTCGCAGCGCTTTCGCTGAGCCCTTCTTTTCCTTCTGGTTTCACCCCGGTTTCCCCTGTTTTTACCCCCCTCTCTGGATCTCTGACGGTGTCAGAAAATAAGAGAAGCGGGAAAAAGCCTCTCATTCAAATCGAGCTGGTTCATTTCCGAGCCTTTTTGGAGTGGGATATTTGCAATGTTTTCACTGTCCCGGGAGAGCCAAGAAAGCCAGATCGAAGAGCTCCTGTTTGCAGAGAGCCTCCGCCTGGAGCCTCAACGACCTTTTCCGCTAAGGAAAGCAGCGCCGATCCCGGCGCCGGGCCCAAGGGCCGCGGCCGGAGACAGCGGGCTGCGCAGCCCGGCGCCGGGGCAGGCACCGGCTGAGGGAAATCACGCCCGGGATCCCGCACCGCCGCGCCAGCCCCTCCGCCCGGTACCACGAGGACTTTAGTAAATTGCTAATTAAAAGCCAAACCAACACCCCCACTCTGCGCATATACAGAAACATTTCATTTTATGCACCTTCGGGACCCTCAAAACCGCTGGAGGGAAAGCGGGAGAGCACGGCGGCGGTCAGCGCTTGCTCTGGGCCCGTTCGGAGCGGAGCCCAACCGGCATCGCTGCGCCCTTCTCCGCGGCGGCTGAGCTGCAGCAGCGCCCGGGTCTCCCACTGCTCAGTGCGAGCCGGCAGCGCGGGATTTGATAGTTTTTCTTCCCTCCCCCCCGCCCCGGATCATTTTAAACCAAGGGAAGAGACCCGAGCAACGCGCTTGCTCCCCCCTAAGGCAGCGTTTGCCCGGAGCCCGCGCGGTGAAAGCTCCGCAGCTTTGCCCAAGCAGGCGCGGCCAGGGTGCTTCCCGGAGACTGCAGCTAAATGCAGTAATTAACAGTGACTGGGGCTTCTCCCCCACAAGTTTTGCTGATTTCTAACGCGATCGCATCGACCGCTTCCTTTGTTCCCTGGCCGGGAGCGGGGTCCCAGCTAGCTGAGCCGAGCGTCCGGAGCAGGGCCGAGGAGAGCCGGGTACAGCCTGGCTCGTTACGGAAGAGCTGGGAAATGCAACAGTCCTGGAAGACGTTTCAAGGTGCAGAATGAGGGTCTGTTTGCTTCCCCGCCGGCGGGAAAAGCTCTGCCCGTGCTAAAAATTACAGGTACCGCACGGGTTGGTTTGTTGACTTTTCCTCCCCGCCCCGTGCCGTCGCTTTCCGCCCCGGGAGCACAGCGTTCTCCGCAAACACGGATCTAAGTCCCGTGTGGGGTAACCGAAAGTCGAAAGCTCCCGGAGGAGCACAGCGCCCTTTTCAGCGGATGTGAAAGCCGGCGGCGGAGCGCACGCCGCGGCTCCCCGAATCGGGCCGCATCACGCACACCTTCGCCTCCAGCCTGCAGGAGCCGCGCGTTCCTCCCCGCAGCACCCAAGGCCTTCGACCCGCAAGAGCTCGCAGATTTCGCCCCGGGAGAAGCGCTAGAATAAAATGTCTGCAACCGCCGGGCCGAGCCGCCCCGCAGCTCGCCCTTGTCCAGCCTCGATTTTCCCCCGAACCGTGAATTCAACCGCCCCGGCGTGCCAGGGTGCCCGGGGCCGGAGGGAGCGGGTGGAGAACCGGGCTGCTCAGAGGCTCCGCACTGACCTGCCGGCCTTGGTGACGATCATCTCGGTGCCCAGTTGGTTGAACTCGTCCCACAGCGCCTTCATCTCCAACTGGACGCTCACGTTGGCCACCTTCGGGTTCTTCTTCACCGGCGCCTTGGCCGCGGTGGCCGACCCCGCGGAGCAACCCGAGACGGCGGCCGGCCCCGCGGCAGCTCCCCCGGCGCCCTCGGGCGGCTCGGGGCCTGGGGGCGGCGGATTGGCCCCGGCTGCCGCCGCCGCCGCCCCGCCGAAGGGGTAGCCGTGCTGGGGCTGTGGCGGCGGGTGCGGATGCTGCTGAGCCGTGCAGGGCTCGTAGTGCGGTGGCTCATGCTGTCCGTACGGGTCCCCCGGGGAAGGGGAGAGGTGGTACCCCCCGGAGGCGTTCAGGCTGCTCAGGCTGTTGGCCGTGAAAGCTGCAACATCGCAAAAATGGGACAGCTGGGTGAGCCAGGGGCTGGAGATAGCTGAAATCATTCCAAAAACAGGCGGTCAGGGCTCCGCTCCGGCTCCCGCTTCCCCCCCAGCTCCGCGCCGCTCCGTGCGGCCCCCGCCTCCGGCCGGCTCCGCGGGGTGCCCTCCGCCTCCTCTCCTGCCCTGCGCCCAGCCCAGCGGGGCGCCTCCCCCTTTCCGCTTTGCTTGGCCCCAGCCCCGCTCCCCCCGGGGCAGGCGGGGAGCTCGCTGCTCCCGCTGCCTGCCTCGGCTCTTTTTTTTTTTTCTTTTTTTTTTTCCTTTTCTTTTTTCCCCTTTGCAAACCCCAGAGATCTGCCAAGAGCCGCGGCGGTGCAGAGCCCGTGCGATCTCTGCAGAAGGCCTCCCTTGCTGCACACGATTTGGGACAAAGCAAACTTCCCCAGACACGGCTTCTCCCCTATCATCCTCCCCCCCCCAAAAATAAAGAGGAGGAGGGGGAACTCAGACAGAAACCGGTTCTTATTTCCGTGTAGCTGCCGTGCTGCAGGTAACGTCCCTCGCTCTGGTGCCACGGCTGACAGGGAACAGGTAGACCTCGAGTGGCAATTCCCCCCCCCTTTCCATCCCCGGGAGAGAGAGGGGGAACAGTCAGGACCAGAGCAAAGCTTCGGGTCCGCGCCAAGGAGCGCCGGAACGGCCCCGGCCGAGCAGCCCTTGGGCGCCTGCTTGAGCGGGCCCTGCGGGGCATGACAGGCCGTCCCGGGGATCGGACGGTTCCTTCGGGTCCCCTCCGATGCTGAAGGGCTCCTCGAGGTCCTGAGGGTCTCTCGAGTTATTTACGCCGCAGTTCCCAGGCCGGACAGCAGCTACAGAGCCGGCGGGAGCCGAGCCCCGGCCTGCCGCTGCCCTGGGCACGGCCGGCACAGTCGGGGGATGCTCCAGAACCTCCGAGGGGACTCGGATCCAAGCGGTAGAGCCGTCGGAAGCCGCCACTGGGGTACGGGCAGAGCCTCGTTCTCCATAGGAAGGCTGAGGGGGCCCGGCAAAACCCCTCTGGCCGGCACCGCGGGCAGGCCGCGCTCTGTGCATTCCCCTTGGCCCGGCCGCGGGGCCGGGACGCGTAGAAACTGCCCGGGACGCAGTGGCCGGGATCCCGACCCGCGGCCATGGGGGGCCGAGCGCAGCGCTCACCTTCCATATCCCTGGTGACGGTGCTGAAGTGCATCTTCTGCGGGCGGCAGCCGGGGCGGGCGGGCGCGCTGCGGCCGCCGCGCCGCTCCTCCAGCGCTCCCTTCCCTGCTTGCTCGGCGGCAGCGGCGACTGAAATCAGAGAGGCGATACTGAAAGCATTTGCCTTGGGAGACAGAGGGCTGTTTTCGTCCATAGGGGAGACACCAATGCAGGAGCAGCAGCCGCGACAGCCTCCCACCACGAGCCCCCCCTCCCACCACCTCACTCCCCTCCTTTCTACCACACCATCCAGGGAGGTGCGAGAGAGACCCCCCTCCTTCCAGACGGGGGGAGGGAACCTTAAAAAAAAACCAAAACAACCAAAAACCCACACCAGAAAACAATCTAAAGCCTCGGTATCCCCCCCGGGAAGGGCGTTGGGGAGCAAGAAATTTCCCCGGGCCCCTTTGCAGCCAGCACCGAGCACTGCAACGGCTGGATCGATCCCTGTCAGGGAGAGGGGTCCGGATAGGGGGGTGAATAAATAAATATCCCCACGAATTTCTTCCCCAGGGTGCCGGTTTCTCTTCCCTCAACTTCGTTCCCTGCGATTTATTATTTTTCTATTTTCCCTTCCCCCTAGCCACCACCTCCTGCTTCTGCCCCCCCCCCCCCGTCCCCTCCTTTTCTCCAGCACGTAGGGAAAGTGTCTCCCTTATAGGCGCTTTCCCCCATTCAGTGGCTGGGAGGCGTCACATGGAAGCCGGGGGTGTTTGCCTGCAGAAGCGGCGGCGGCAGCGGCGAAAGCGAAGTGAAACTTCTGCCGAGACGGTGTCAAAGGGCTGGGGAGGCCCTTCCCCGCCTCCCGGGCACGGCGAGCTGCCGGCGGGGAGGGATGGGATGTGCTTCGGGGCGGGCGGAGGGGTCGATGGTGTCAATCACGGCACCGGGAACCGGCCGACGGGAAGGGAAGGGAAAAGCCGAGGGCAGCCGAGCCGAGCCGAGCCCGGAATCACGCTGCGGATGTCCGGCACCGAGAGGGAGGATTGCTCCCTTCCTCCAGCCCTTATCCACCACGGTGCCGCAGGCTGCCCCGGCTCGACCCGGGGACTCGCAGTCCGAGCGGCCGCAGCGCCGGGCACGTCGGGGCGCGCTGCGGGCGCAGGTGCCGTCTCGCCGGGGCAGGATGTGACCCTCCAGTCCCGAGCCACCAAACCATCAAAGCACCCGCGGGCGTTGGAGCATTTCCTTCGCCAAAAAAAAAGCGGAGAAAACGGAAAGCAACGGCGGGGCGGCCGGCGAGGGTTTGTCCGGCCCGGCGTGAGAGCCCTCTCTGCCGGCAGCACCTGCACGGCCCGCCTGGACCGGGGGCCGCTCTCCCCTGGCTACCGTGGACAGCTTTCCCGGTTCCCCGCCCTGTCCTGGCGAGGGTGAGGTGCTACTCACCGCCCGGCACCGACCCTTCGGAGCGCTGCGGCGTCCCCCGGGCCCTTCCTCCACATCGGCGCTGGGCGAGCCCTGCCGGCCCGGCCCGGCCCCGGTCCCAGTCCGGGTGCTGGTCCCAGTCCCGGTGCCGGTCCCAGTCCCGGTGCCGGTCCCTCCGGGCGGGTGGCTGCACTGAGGTCCCGGGGGATATGCCCCGATGGGGCGGGCGGAGCCGTGAGGAGCGCCGGTGGCTACCGCCGCGATGGGGGTTGCATAACCCGAGCGATGCGCGGAGAGTCGGAGTGAGCAAGCGGGTTATATATAGCTGCCCTGTCTGTAGCCTGCGGGGCTTGATTCTTGTTGAAATATTATCTTTGGATGTGGTAAAAATATTTGCAGAGAAAAATCTAGACTACTCTTACATATTTGAGCATATGTTCCTGCAGCTAACGGCATAAGGGCAGAGCGTGACACGATCGGTGTTTTGTTTCTCTGCTGTTGCTGGCACCGGGGTTCCCGGCCAGGGCATTTTCTACCCTGAGCTCAGGGACATGCCAAACAGAAGAGTGTTCCAATGCTGACCCACGCTGCTTACCTGGCGGCAATACAGGGAGGAGGGGAATGGATTTCGTTAGGAGACCTCGGGGCAATATCGGAGGAAAGCGAAGAGCCGCTGGCGCGAGTTGCAAGCCGCCTCACGGAGTTCAAGGGCTGATGTGAACAGGCATCATCTTCTTCCCAGAGGTGTGCCCGGTTCTGGGCAGCCTCTGCCCCAGGAGGAAACAAAATTTCCCCTTCCTTGAAAATTAAGAAAAAAAAACCAACCCAGCACCCCAGCAGAGTCGAGGTTGCTGCCCTTGACTTTCTTGCCCTCACCGTTTCCTAGCTTTATCCCTTTCTCTTTCCCTGCTCCTTAGGTAAAAGCCCCAGCTGGAAGCAGCGCTACGTCGAGGACAGCCCGGGCACGGATGAGCCCCTCAGCCTGCCCGGCGGGGTCGCGACTTAGTGGTCTCCAGGAATCGTTGCCAGCCGGCCCTCGGGCCCCATGACCCCTGAGACCCCGCCGGCCCGTTCCCGCACCCCCACGTGTGAGCAGCGCCAAATAAGAGCTGAGACGACAGCAGAGTGAAACCAGCCCTGGCTACCCCGCGACGGGGGAACCCGACAGCGGCAGAGCAAAGCCGAGGGAGCGGGTGGCACGGCTCAGTGCTGTAAACGGCGTTATCCCCTCTCCTGCACGCCAAAAGGGCCTAAAACCAGAGGCCGCCTTTGCTAGGCGTCTCGTCCAGCGGGCACTGTCCCTTTCTCCGGTCGTTCAGCATCGCCGGAGCTCTGCAAAGCTCGTCCAGCCTCGGTGGGGGGCTGCTAACCCCACCGTTAGCGAGGGTCTGTCCAGGGTTGTGCCGTCGTCCCTGGGCCCTGGAGGGAAATTTATAGAGCCCGGAAGCTGTCGGAAGGGCACCAGGGAGAGGGCAAGGGGAGCGTTCTGCTCCCCTGGGGTGCTCCTCACACCTCGGCCGAGCAGGTGAGAGGGAAGGTCGAGGTTGTCCCGCCGCTTCCCCGCTGGGAACGGCTCCGCTCTGCGGAAACTCCAAGAACTCGACAGGGAAGAAGGGCAGGACCCCTCCTCCCCACTCTGTGGACACACAACTGCTTCACCCCGAAACGCTCAGACGCCGGTGGTGCAAAAGCCTGTGGCGGCAACAAAAAACCGCAACGTGTTGCAATGCCCCCCACTCCCCGGCGGCAGCCCCCAGCCCTGGAGCCCAAGCAACGCCTCTGCCCTGCCGCTCCACTACCTTCCCCGGCCCCGGCGAGGCTTCGCCACGCAGCAGGTATCCGCTGCCGCCCCCTCCTCTCTTTGGGCTCCGGACCTTGCAATCCCCCAGACCTTTCAGGCGAGGCGGACCCCGTGGGCTGCTGCCTTCGTCCTCCCTCTCAGGGGTTTCCCCGCCGGCACCGCTCCCCACGGGCCGGGACAGGTGCCCCCAGGCGCGGACGGCCGCGTTCCCATCGAGCCTCGGCTTTTTTGCTGCGGAGGTGCCCAGGTCCCCCAGGCCCCGTTCCCCCGCGCACCCTGCGCTCGGGCTATGCTGCAGATGCGCTGCGGCCCCGACGACCGCCTGGGACACGGCCCCGCCGCCTTCTCCCTCTAAGCCCCTCACACTCACCCCTCCGCCCGCATCTCTCCTCTACGTTCCTCCCGCGATCCCTCCTTTCTGCCCGCTCCTCCGTCCCTCCCGCCCCCACAACCCCTGCGCCCCGACGGGCCCCCGGCGAGCCCGGCTTGCGGGGGGGTAGGGAGGCGGGCGCGGACTCTGCAGGGGAAAGGGGGGCGGCCCCGCACGGCCTGGCTCGGGCTTGGCACGGCAACCCCAGCTCCCCGCTGAGCCGCGGGGGGACAGCGGCAGCGAGCCGGGGCTGGGGCCACGCAGAGTCGGGGCAGCGGCACCGCACGCGTCCGCACACTCTCATTTCTCCGCACCCCTCCCAGATGAGCAGCCGGGCGCGCGGGGCGCCCCGCGTCTCCCAGCTTCCCTGCCCGACGCGGCAGCACCGCCCGTGCCCTGCGAGCGATAGCAGAGAACGGTACGGGAAGGGCTGACACTGCCGGTAGCGGTGCTGCAGGCTAAGCAGTAACAATTCGTAGAGGTTTCGCTAACGGGAGTCGCAGATATTTACGAATTCGTTGTAGGCGGGGAGATAAGGGGAGACAGGAACATCTCGGCAGGTGAAAAAAAAAAAAAAAAAGCCTGTAATTCCCACGGGTCCCGGGAAAAAACGGGGATTTTCTGGCATTTAATTTGAGACCGTTATGACTACTGTTATTACAATTACAGTCATGATCGTTATTACCACCACTACAGCGACTATTACTATTATTTTCAACTGGGGTTTGAACTATAGGAACTGAAATTAACGAATCCACCTAACAAATCCTCAAGTCAAATGTGTGAACCAAGTATCACTCAGAAAGACGCATAGAAAGACAGAAAGCAAGGCAAGATAGAAGAAACAAAGAAAGAAACAAAAACAAAGAAACAGAGCGAAAGACAGGGAAAAAAGTAAGAAAGAAAGGAAAGAGAAAAAAGATTAGGAAAAACGGAAATAAAAAGAAGGAAAATAATGGAAAGAGGAAGAAAGAAAAAAGACACAAAGAGAAAGCAAAAAGAAAAAGAGAGTCAGGAAAAGGCATCGCAAAGACGGGCAGACCGATAAGGACAGACAAACGAAAAGCAGATCGAGGCGAGCGGCGCGGGGTACGGCGTTCAGCCAGAGTCGCTTTGCCCACCCGCATCCCCGCACCGGGAGCGGTCTGCCCGGGGGTGCTGTCACCACGGCTCGGTGCCAGCCGGCGGCCCTACGCGGGGCCCCGCGGGTCCCACCGGCGCTCGCCGGGGCTCTCTCGCCCCTGCACCTCGCTGGTTTCCCCGGGGCGCCCCAGCTTCACTCGACCCCGTTGCACATTCTCCAGAACCCCCGCGGCCGCCCCGAGCCGCTCCCCTCCGCCGGCCGGGACGCCCCAGGGACGGCCGCGAGTGGCACTGCCCCGGACCGGCCCAGCCGCCGCTGCTGCGCGGGATCTGAGCCGTCCCGTCAGGGGCCGGAGCGGCAGGTGCGCGGCCCCAGTGGCACGGGTCGTCCTCCTGCGGCAGCGGGAGCGACACAGGGTGGCCGGGACGTGGGACCCGAGGCCGCGCTGGGAGCGACTCAGGCCCGGGCCACCGCTGACGAGGTCCGCGACACCGCAAGGCAGCCGCTCTGTGCTCCGCCGGTGAGCACGTTTGGGGTTCGCGTCAGGGAAAGGAGGGAATGTTAGGGGAGCGAGAGAGAAAGAACAGGAAGAGAGGAGAGGAGAGGAGAGGAGAGGAGAGGAGAGGAGAGGAGAGGAGAGGAGAGGAGAGAGGAGAGAGGAGAGAGGAGAGAGGAGAGAGGAGAGAGGAGAGAGGAGAGAGGAGAGAGGAGAGAGGAGAGAGGAGAGAGGAGAGGAGAGAGGGGAGAGGAGAGGGGAGAGGGGAGAGGAGAAAAGAAGAGAAGAGAAGAGAAGAGAAGAGAGGAGAAAAGAGAAGAGAGAGGAGAAAGAAGAGAAGAGAAAAGAGAAGAGAAGAGAAAAGAAAAGAGAAGAGAAAGAAAAGAGAAAAGAAAAAAAAAGAGAAGGGAAGAGAGAAGAGAAGAGAAGAGAAGAGAAGAGAAGAGAAGAGAAGAGAAGAGAAGAGAAGAGAAGAGAAGAGAGAAGAGGAGAAGAAGAGAAAAGAAGAGAAGGGAAAGCGAAGGAAAGGAAAGGAAAGGAAAGGAAGAAAGGAAAGGGAGGACAGAAGGAAATAAATGCATGAAGAGTGAAAGAGAAAGGGAACAAAAGAACAAAAAAGAATGAAAGAAAAAGAAGAGAGACAGACACTCTGAGGAAGGAAGCATCCAATGAGAAGTAATTATTGCTCCTACCAGCACAACCCTCATGAACAATTGTTTCCTTGCTAATAGACAGTGAGGCACCTGGGATGGGAATACCGGAGCTTGTGGGGCTCCGTGGGCTGCCTGACCCCGCAGAGGGGAGCCCCCTACGCGGCTGTACGTAGGACACCACGGGGCCAGGGGAGCAGGACTGGGCTCCTGCACCCCTCGCACCCCCACTGGCTCCCGCTTGCCAGCCTTGGCTCACGTTATTTGCCATGGGGATTTCAGGCTGGTTTTATGGGGTCACTTGCCTGCAGATCCCAATGTGGAGATCACGCACGGGGAAATTCTCAGAAATAAAACTGTCAGCCATTCTCCCCCAGCACACAGCCGGTGGGGTTCTCCCTTTCTCCATCTTTTTAACCTTTTTTCTCATTTTTTAACTTTTTCTTCTTTTTTTTTTTTTCCCTTGGCTACTGCTCCTGCGTCTGTAGTGAGGAATCTGTGCTTTCCTGCAGTGCAGCTGCCCTGTGTGGCCCACGGTTTGGGGCTGTGAAGTTTCTGGGACCCCCACCAAGCCCCAGAGCACAGAGCTCCCTTGGCAGCTCTGGGGTAGCCTGTGCAAAGGGACAGCTTGGGTCATTACCTGGGGAGCCCACCGGAGCTCATCTGGTTTTGAGTGCATCAGGAGCCGCTTCTAAAACCAGTCACTCTCTGTCACTCCTGTCCTCATTAATGTTCATTAATGCTGTCAAAAAGCTCTGTACAGGGGTGCTGCTCTGCTGCCTGGGGCTGACACACACATCTGACGCTTACTATGTGAGAGGGAATTTGTGCCTGTCCCTTCTGGCCTGTCCCTTTCCTCACTCGCCCCCCAGCTCCAAGGAGGAGAGGGAAACTCTTGCTCGGCTGCCTGTGCTCCCTGAGCGCACAATGAAATGGGGCTGCAGCTACGGGGGAATGAGGCACTTTTAGTTTGAAAGACGGAATCCCCCCACCCAGTGCTGAGGTGCCAAAACCGGCTCAGTCGAAGCGTGTTTCCTTATCGCAGCACAAGCCTGGGAAAGAGCGGTGAGGAGCGCTGCAGAGCGCAGGACACTGCCGCTGCGCTGCATCCAAAGGGAAAGCCTTGCTGCTTCTTGCTAGATCCTTTCTGTAGAGAGTCGTTTTCGAGCCATCCACTTGCAACCGAGTTGCTAGACAGAAGGGAGGCATTTCTCCGGCTCCGTTGTGGTTGTTGCATTGAAGGTTTATATTCTTCTCTTGGTCCCGCAGCAGCATCCTGTGCAGACATTTATTTTGGCTACAGGTACCCTGGTTCTCATTTGGATGCAGTCACTGAGGCCTGACCCATACAGGCGCTGTGTGCTGGTGGAGCTGCTGCAGCCATGCAGGTTGGCTCTGGGGGTCCACTTCCATATAGGGGAGCCCAGAGGGTGCCACCCTGCACGGGGCTGAGTTAGATGAGCACAGTCCTTGCATGGAGGGGCATTACGGAGCTCAGTCACTGTCAGGTGGTCAGGTGTCCTCCAAAGCTCCCTGCCTGCATTTGCTTTAGACTGGCCTGTAAGGGGTTTTCCTTGAAAGGACTTTTTTCCTTTTCTGTTAGGCCAATATACCCCTGACATTCCTTGTCCCCTC